TTATGGTTCCCCTGCAGATATTCTCCTCTCAATACTTCTTCCTTGACTGTGTTAGCCGTCGCAGTGAAGTTGTCAATGGATCTAACTACCCCGATGAAAGGCAAGCCTGATCAAGTGTTCGAGATATTGTCAGTTATCAGATACTCAAGTGTTCGAGATACTCAAGTGTTCGAGATATTGGTCTATGAGGAAATCTATCATTCAGCATCAGATACTCAAGTGTTCGAGATATTGTCAGTTATCGTTGCAGATATATTTTCTGTGTGCGCCTGACCAATTTACCTCATGTTATACTCAAGAAATGTAATGATAGAGATATTGAAAAACGGGAGAAAAGTATACGGGAAGCAACTCACCTTTTGGGAGAAACTCAAGGCATTCTGAAAGCTCTTCAAAAGCATGAAATTCCTAATCTTCAACCGAACAGTCAATTTACACTGACGAATGGCGTACTTTACTCAAACACACTAACCATGGTATTTCGGACTCAACTCCTAGCAGTGAGAATATTATTGATGCTTCAAGTGGTGAGGTGCATTTGGATATACAAGAACTTCGTGCAAGTGCTACAGCAGGTATAAATTTACCCTTGTTCTCTAGTTCCATTCAGATTTTGCCTCGGAATTTATTATATTATTCATGTTCCCATTACGATGACATCAGTTTTCATGTAGACTTTTGTTGAATTTACATTTCATGAAGTAAAAATTAATAAAACTAGTTCTTTTGTGTCTTGTAATAAATCAAAAAAATATACATGAAGTATGCTTAATTTTGGTGTTTTCAGAAGCCTTGGAAACTGATGAAGGCAACGCGGAGTCTCATGTGAGCGGGGAAGTGGCCGAAGAGTCATGAGAAGAAAAAGAGAACAGCCAAGCTTAAAACGCTACCATCTCCACTTTAGGAAGTTATTCTTTTATAAGCATCTTTTTTGTGTGTTTATTGGAGTTTGCCACACAATTGTTGTGATTTGTGTTATCATGAAAACCTAGTTGCACCTAATGTTGGCATTTTATTAGACATTATTATGCATATTTTGAAGATTAAAAGTGTCGTTTAAAACTATTGTGTTGTTACAATTTGTTGATCAATACAATAGATTATTTACTTATTGCATGTTTAAATATTTATTGGAGTTCGACCTTAATTAAATTGTGCTCTTGGACAATATTTAGGTCCGGCATTTGGGTTGACTGTGCGAGATACGTACGGGCCTAAAATCTGAGCCCGAAAATTGTGTACATGTTGGTGCTGATTATACTTTTAAATGCTAAAGTGTACCCTTGTATTCTCTAGTTCCATTCAGATTTTGCCTCGGAATTTATTATTATTTGTATTCCCATTACAATGACATCAGTTTTTATTTAGGCTTTTATTGAATTCACATTTCACCAAGTAAAAATTAATAAAGCAAGTTCTTTTGTATCTCATTATAAATTTAAGAAAAAAAATTGCATAAACTCGATGTCAGTATTACCTAATATATATTTTTAATTGAATTTTGGAGGAAATTCTTTTAAATGTAAATAGTACTCTCTACGTGCCAAAAAGATATGCTTGTTTATATTTTCAAACAGATTTAAAAAATATAATTATTGTAGTTGGAAATATAAGTTTTTGGACATTTTTCTTAATATATCTCTACATTAAATATTGATTTAAATAAGAGAATTCATATTTGTTGATAACGGACATATTAGAAAACTAAGAAATCAATTATACTATTAACAAGGAAAGTAGTCTATAATTTGGGATAGACGAAAAATGAAAGTAAACCTATTTTTATGGGACGGAGGGAGTATAAAAAAATGAAGTATGCTTAAATTGGTATTTTCAGGAACCTTGGAAACTGATGAGTTGAAGGCAATGCGAAGTCTAATGTGAGCGCGGAAGTGGAAGAGTCAGGAGACGAAAAAGAGAACAACAAAGCATAAAACCCTAACATTTCCACTCCTTCGGAAGTTATTCTTTTATGAGCATCCTTTATGTTTGTTTATTGGAGTTTGCCACACAACTGTTGTTGGCATATTATTAGACATTATTATGCATAGCTTGAAGGTTAAAAGTGTCCTGTAATATTGATATGCTGATATAATTTGTTGATCAATTCAATAGATTATTTACTTCTTTCTGGGTTGTGATGTCAAACTTGGGGTAGTGATGACCCATGATAGATCTTCAGGCTTAAGCCTAAATTGGAGACAAACCAAGTGATCCAAACCCGCACAAGATAAGTCAAACCCGGTCCCATTTAAATGCACTACCTTAGGAATGTTTTCTTTTTTTTTACTTGGATTGCCACCCAGTAGTCACTTCAATGTATTTGAAGTATTATAGATCATTGGATTAGAGACATGATCAGTAATTGTTAGCTATTGCTATTTAAGGCCAATCAGTTGGCATGGCTATTCATTATGTTTTCAACCAACACTACTACAAAAATAGCCTTGCGCAACGTTCAAAAAACGTTGTCAAAAACTTTTTGTAATGTTTGGACGTATATTGCAAACTTTGATATTGTCGTAGAGTGGAAGGATATGGCAACATTTTTTGAATGTTGCAAATAACCTTTTACAACGTTTTTTGAATGTTGCTAATGACTTTTTTGCAACATTTTTTGAGTGTTGCTCATAACTCATTTGCAACGTTTTTTGACCATTGCTGTAGGAATTTTTTTTTATAACAAGTTATGTAAATTGAGTGGCAAAATTGAAAATATTCTTTGTGAACAAATTTTGAAATTGTATAAA